CCCTAGACGTTTACTGTACTCAGCTGGGCTGTACTCAGCAAGCGCAGTACAGCCCCAAAGTCAGATTAAAAAAAATAAATCAGTGGATGACTGTCTAATGACAGGTTGGCAGACTGCCGACCAGTCGTCCCTACCGGTAGGATGCAAAACGGTCGGCGGTCGGGGTAGATGGTCGGCCGTGATGCAATCATGCACTTCTGCCAAAGTGCTACACTCGATTCAAAAGTTATGGGCTTCAGCTTGTGAAGTCAGAGCGCTTTCCGTTTGCTTTTTTCGGTCTGAAAGTATCTCGCCAGGTCGTCCATCCATAGTGGATCGAGGCCCATTGTTGGGCTTGCACGTTGGACAACATTGGTGCTCTGACTTCACGAGCCGAAACCTGAACCCATAACGTTCTTCTAGAGTGTAGCGCTCCGGGAGAGGCATATAAATCTCGGCAAATCCTCCCCATAAACATACACTTTTCGGCCTTTTGGCTGAGATCAAGTGGAGCATCTGAACTGATCAGTTTAATTTCTGGTCCGTGGTCCATCGGACCGCACGGTACTACATCAATTTTTGAATTCCCGCCCTCTACAAAAATTGAAGATGCGGCCGATCTTGGCTGCCAATGTACCAAGATTGGCGGCCAGGATTGACCGCGTTAACTTTGTAAAACACAGGGTCTACTTCCCCCGGTCTATTTTTTTACCAGCGGCAAGTCCACAGGGGGTGGGCAGCAGGACCATGCATAATTCGCAGCCAAAAGGCTGCGCTTAGTGCAATTGTCTTTTTGTCGTAGTCGTCGACTGCAATGAAGCTCTGGCGGGGTCTTTTCGGGCTTTCGAAATTCACGTGGAAGGGTCTGGTCGGTGAGCGGGCGACCTGCGGTAGGCTGGGTAGGTCGTGCTTGTCCATTGCGGTCCACGTCCACTGTTTCCTCTTTGGGAGGAAGGGCGGACGAGATAGCAGGGCAGGAGGGGATGCGAGGGGGTTGTCTGCTCTTTTCTTTTTTGCCTTTTTTTTTTTCTTCCTTTTTGTCCTTTCGCAGAAGGGTGTCGCTGGGAACTTGGGAATGCACCTGCTCCAGAAGGCAACCAAGGGCTTCGCCGCACTGCACACGAAACGAAAAACGAAACGAGTGCATCTTCCTGCAGAAAATGGCCAGGTTCGTGGGTTTGCTGTAAATAGTAACGAGTGTACTTTTCCACCTTTCATGGGCAGATGCACTCTTTTCGTTTTCGTTTCTTGTGCGTCCCAAATAAGTTGAACTGATACCACGCAGAAAAAAAAAAAACCTGATACCACGCGGGGCGTGGGGGTGCATCCAGGACGGTGGGCGATAGGCCTTCGACAGCCTCCCTGCGCCTTTTTTTTTTTTTTTTTTTTTTTTTG